TTTTCTTTCGATGATGATGACTTCTTAAAGTCATTGCTACCAGAAAATACTTAGAAAACAAATCCCATCATCTCACATTTTAAAGCAAGAAAGATACAAGAGTTCATCTAGTCCAATCCATTTGTTTCATAGAGAAGGAAGTTTGGCTCCAGAGAGGTAAACTGGCCCTTAGTCAAGGTCCAAGGACTAGTTAGTGATACTGCCAGGATCAGAATCCAGGCCTCCTGATTTCAGCAGGGTATGGAATAGTTTAAACAGCTGCAGTTCCTTCTAAGGAAGAACTTACGCTGTGATGTAGTTTTAAAAGCAGAATCAGGAAAAGCCTCCAGAGCTTTGTTTTTCAACAAAATGATGCAGATCTACAAATTCCTATCTTAAGCTTATAGTTATATTTTGTGGTACCACAAGTGGCATATTTGAGATATTAGTCCTAGAACATGCCGTATCAGTTCCAACACATTCTCTTAATTCCATAAATGATTTAGAGGTTTCGTTAGCAACACATGGCTCCATATAAAGCAGTATTTTCATAAGCAGCAGGAAACTTATTTTTTACAGACTGGTCTTGGGGTCTTATGTCTGTAAATATTGATTCATCTAACTGGTTTGAGCTACATTTTGTATTCTTTTATGAGATGGTCAGTGAGGCGTGTCCACAAGAGGAGACATAGGAGAGGTTTGGGAAAACAAAAGTTTCATTATATTCAAAGGTCTTAGAGACGTCATGGCACACCACACAGGGCTACAATGAGAGACACAAGGGTGGTCAGGAGGCAGAAGACAGGAACAAGGGAAATGCTTTAGGTCTGCTGGAGTCAGCACTTCTCAGCCTGTCAGAGTGGTCACCTTGCAGGCTGTAATTGTTTAAAAGAAATAAAGGCTCCTTTCCAAATTTGTAAATTTGATTTTTAAGCTAACACCATTTAAGAATCTTAACTCTTTGTCTCTATCTCAGTGCCTTTGAAAGAAAATTTTAGAAAATAACTTTCTCTAATTTTACAAAATCGGAAAAGGAAGAATCATTTTCTCTATTAATAGTCTACGTTTCATTTTAAACCAATGAGGAGTTGTTTGCATGCACTTATGAGCCTGTTGTGTTTGTTAAATGATTCACTTACTGTAATTGAACGTACTTGCAGCAGGAAAGCAGTGAATCCCATGTTTAAAAAAAATGAATAAAGGGAAACCCAGGACTGTTTAGAGTGGTCCTTGATCTGACCACTCTCTCTGTAATCAACATGAGGCAAGGAGAGGCACACACCAAGAGATTCTTCCTATGGCCCTACCAAGAAAGAAAGTAGACCATCCTGGAAATAATGCGTATTGGAAGCAGGCTGGTAATGAATGACCAGATCTCCCAAGGCATGTTTTTGCATTCAGTAGATTCAATAACAGTAGATAGATTTGATACCTTAACAGTAGATGCCTCACTGTGTTTTACTAAAAGAAGTTCATTGATTATACCTGCTGAAGACCAAGAATTTAAAAACCTGCTGCACCTGTGAGATCTTATTAAGTGTTATTCCAGTAAGTCAAAATGTTACATACATGGGAAAAAATATGGGTTGGGTTATTGTATTAGGATTCTTGCATCTTAGGGGATGAAGTGTTTTAGAGGATCGTTCTGGGAGAATCACTGAGATCCTTGCTAGGAACTCCCCGCCTAATCCCCCACTTATGGTATAGATGACTTCTTCCACTACCGCAATAGCCGTGTCTGTTGCCAGCTATCATAAAGGCAAATCATAGAGGGGAAACATGGGAGGAAAATATTACTGAAAAATTTTAAAGGATTCTTGAAAACAAGATATGAGAATAAAGAGCAATAAAATAGAAGTTAAAAGTAAGGAAGAACATCCCACTAAAACTTAAGCCTTAAAAAGAGTCAGAAGTCAAATAAGTAAATGGTAATAAAACATTGAGATAAAAAATTTGACATGGTGAAAGGTGAGATATTTTAAGAACCTGAACTAAAACATGAAAAAGTAAAAATGATGAAGAAAAATTATATCAAAAATGGTGGAAATTCTCTGCTTCATAAAAGCAATAACAAAACTGCAAAAATTGTCAGAATCAACTTTTTGGAAAACTCTGAAAATTAACCAAAGGCAGCAGCAATTTAGGGAGCATTTATTCAAGAAAAATGTCTGAATCTCAGAACAGTGAGCCTTGCGGTGATTCGACTGGCTTTGTTCTCATTGTCCTCTCTCTAGTTCCTCTGTGGCCTCGGGAACCAACAGTCTGCAGTTATGATGAGGACCAGCAGGCTGGCAGCCCCCAGAGAAGGCAGAGTGGGGTTGGAGCTCCTTTAAAGCCGCATTCTCAGAGAATTTTTACTTAGCCTTAGTGTCTAATGGTTATCCCTGGAAGACTCTACTTGCAAGACTATCTTTACTTTACCAGACTTGGAATTCACTCAGTTCAAAAAGCCTTTTCTCTAAGGGTGTTTGTTGAAAGCAACTAGAGGCATTTGACTGGCTTTGCAGCTGTCTGAGGTGGTAGATAACAGATGCGGCAACAAAATGCTAACCAAAAAGCCTAACAGTAGAAGGTGAAGAATAAGATTTCCATGGGGGTTTTGAACAGCTGCGAAATATACCTGGGAATCTGGAGGGTCACTCATTCATAGAGCTCTGTGCATGCTTAGGAAAGACTTTTACCTCTGGTTAACCTTGAGGCTGTGGGCAAGCGGGAAGTAGAGGCTAAGGCAGAGTTGTCCACCATGTGTTGAGTGAATGTTGATTGCATGCCCCAGCACATAGACACAGCCCCTCAGCAAAGACTGGTTTTGCTAAGGGGTTCTGTATGATATTGGTTTCAGATGTCTAAGGAACTGTGCAATCATTAGTGGACCACAAAGCTAATCAAGCAGACACTTTTAGTTGCCATACACAACAAAGAATACATATTTATAGGATTGGTTTAGAAAATTCAGTAAACAATAACAGCAAACAGCAACAACAACAAACCCTGGAGAGATCTTGTTTGTTGATTATTTAATTTTGGTATTTATCATGATTGGGGTTCTTTGACCAACTTTGATTTTGATTTGATGTGTTTCAGCATTTTTAGAAAATCCACAGCCACATACATTTACATATTTATTTTCCATAGTTCTTTCTCCCTTTTCCTTTAGGTACTCCAATTATACACGTGTTATGCCATTTTTATTGTTCCAATAGCTCTTGGCTGCTCTATTCAATGTGCACCTCCCACACACTCCTTTTTCTCTTGTCTCTCAATCTGGATGGTTTTTATTGACATATCTTCTAGTTCACGAAGTCTTTTATCAACTTTGTGTATTATACTTAAAGCCTATTGAAAGAATTCTTTTATCTTTGTTGCTGTCTATTCCTAACATTTCCATTTGAGTCTTATTTCCACATTTGCTGAAATTTTCCACTGATACATGCATGTTGCTTGACTTTTCCACTGAAGCCTCTAACATATTAATCATAGGTATTTCAAAGTCCTCCGTGTGGGTCATCTCTGTTATCTGCCAGCTGCTTTATCTCAAAATGGGTTTTTTTCCCTTGCTTCTTTGTGCCTCATACTTTGTGAATGCTAGCCATACAGTGAAGGACCATAGGGACTGAGGTCAGTAGTGTTTGTGCCTAGAAATGGGCATCCTATTAGGTCATTAGTGTTGGGAGTTGAGCCATGTAATTCAGAGTTGACTCAGGTTGGTGTTTCCTAGTGACTAATGTGACCTTCAGTGCATCAGTGACTTCAAGTTTTACTCTAGCAGATGGCTGTTTTGACTTCTGCTTAGTGTGGGGACTGGATTGCCAGAGGCTTTTTCTCACCAATTTTACTCCCGTTTTCCTTTCAGCCATGCTTTCCTGCCTGCACCACATAAGGGCATATCTTCATGTCCTTGTCTCTCCCTCAGCCATTCCTGCTCCTGCTTATTGCTTGGTGCTAGGCTCGTGGTGGGAGACAGCTAGGGTTCACTGTTGTCTCAGTCCAGCCTGAGTCTTAGGTAGACCCTGTGTGCCTGGGTCTCAGGGATGGGTCCTTCTCAGCACTTCCACCTCCTCCCATGATGTCAGGCTGCCTTGACCAAACCTCTGCTTGGTGTCAGTATAAGGTCATCAGCCTGAGATTTTTCTGCCCTTCCTGTAAGGTGGAGGTTTTAGTTTCCACCATTTTCCCTGCAGCAGTAAATCTTTGCCTGTGTTCCTTTTCACCTCTGCTCCTTCCCTAGAGGCAATGCGTCTTTGCCAGAGCCCCAGGGGGAGTTTCCTGTGCATCTCCCAGCAATTGAAAAGCTTATATTTCACAGGAGAGAAGCATTCAGGAAAGCGGGCAGGACTTCTTCCTGTCCCCAGTAGCCACTGAAGTGGCCTCTCCATTCTCCTGCCCTATTTCCAGTCTTTCTTGTGAGCACCTGACAAGGCTTATGGAAAAGAGCTGCCAAGTGTGAGTGGACTCTTCTTGTGTCAGAGCCTGCAATACTAACCTGTATTTAAGAAATTAGGAAAATCTTAGCTGATTCTTCTTACCTGGTTGTATGACAGCCACCTCGTTCTCCAACACTCTGCCAAAAGTGAGAGAAGTATGGCCCACCTTTGGAGGGGAACATTTTTCTTTGGAATTTTGCTTTCTTAGTTACTTTACAACGTCAAGTCTTTGAAGGATCAAAAGGAGTTAAGATTTTGTTAGACTTTCTGGCCTTTTCTTATTAGGATGGGAGCAGCTTTTTGTTTGCCTTTTTTCCCCCCCAGCTCTCTACATGCTAAACCGAAGCATAAACTCCTTGATTTTAATTTAGAAAAAGGGGTTCAGAACCCATTTATTATCTGTGATCTTTGCTAATTCGCTAGTTCATAAAGTAGAAATACTAGTAATAACAATTATTAATTCAATAGAATAGAGGGTTATTTTGAGGTTTTAATGAAATAATGCATGTGAAAACACTTGTAAATTAGAAACTGTTGTAGAATAATGATCATTACTTCATTACCTCCTAAGACACCATTTCTTTTTCCTATTTCCAGAAACGATCTTCAAGACACAGAAATGAGTCCAAGACAGAATCGTCGCATAAGAACTCCTGAAAGTGCTGAGATTGAACCAAGAAACAAGCGTAATAGGAATTAGTGTGGGCTTTTTCTGACCTTTCAAATGCAGTGATTAGAATATGATACTTTTGGTTACTCTATATAGATTTCCTATTTATAAATGCCCAAGGAAAGATGCTACATTCTAAATACCATGGTTAGCTGATTTTCATTCTTTTCTGCTTTTCCAGAGGGGAAAATTATTACAAAATATTCTCACTTGCTTAGTTGCCTCCTGCCTCTAAAACATCTCTCAGTAAAATTACTGACATTCATACAGGCCCCGCTTTGCAGAGTAGGCAGACTCTTTGGCACTTTGGCAGAGGAATTTGTTTTGGTTTGGTTTGATATCTAAATTTCAGACTGTCCTTAGGCCATTCCCCGCCTCTTCCATGGAGAATCCAACCTCACAAAAGGATTTTTTTCAACCTCTTTATTACAAGAAACAGTTGAGGAGTTAAATATCTGTATTTTTAGAAAGGCAGGATGTCAGTTCACATCTTACGTGTGTGTGAGTGCCGATGCAGGCCACCACCATGCCTGTGTTACAGCAGTTCCATGATGATTGTTGCCTGAGGTTAATGTCGTTTTTTGTTAGACCTGTGTTTTACACAGTTTCTCAGAGTAGGATATTGGTATTATAATTTAGAGGCACAATAGTCACAAAGTCACAATAACTTAGAAACTTGTGCATATTCTTCTGAAATAGCACTCAAAAATGATTAGTGTCAGTATTTTTTCACTTGGGTCAGTCAAATCTGTAACACTGAATCTAAGCTATTAAACAAAAAGTATGCAATAAATGAATTTTGTAAATGAATAGACTGTATCAGTTTACATTAATGTTCTTAAAACAGTATCCTGTGGATAGTTGAGTATGGGTTAGAAATCATTGCAATGGATTGGTCAGAAATTGCTGTATGTGTGTAAAGTGTCTACCAGTAGTTGGATGTTTCCAGAGTTCATAATGCCTCTCTTTGGCATTTCAGAGCCAGCATCCCCCAACTCCCACCCCTCTGCCACCACCCAGCCCAAACACATGAGCTTTCAAATGAGACTACAGCAAATGCGGCAGTGTTAAGAAAAGAAATTTATGATTTGCCAGGTTCAACATTTACGACCTCCTCATTCCAAAGAATGTCTCTGTTGACCTTGGCTTTTTGGTATGCTTTGGGGTTTCTGATAATGCGTAGAGTGTCATTATGGCTGAGGGTTTAGTGTTTTGACAGTGAAGTCCAGTCATTTGATTTCTTTATGAGTTCCCTGTGTTACAAATGGCTATAGAAAAATATGTCATAATAATTTCATTTAGTTGAAATCCTGAGTGGTGCATTAAGGAAACTAAAAGCACCACTTACCAAATCTATCAGCAGAACTGATATGAGGTAAGTGAGCATGTCAAACAAAATAGGGGCTCACATGGATATATTTATGTCACTGAGTTGTCAGAAATTATGCCAAAATGAAAACTGCTTGTTTCATTACAAATTACAGTCTGTAAGTTAAACTGGAAGTAATTATTACTTTAATTGCAACAAAAGGAGTTTGTGAGGGAGCAGAGAGACCCAAGACTGGAAAGCAGGCGCATGAGTTCATTCAGCAAATATCTGGTTGTCTACTTAGTTATGTATTTGTCACTGTGCTGACACTGGGAATACAAAGGTGGCTAAAGATCATCTGAAACTATGGTTCCCAGTGCAGTGGGCAGAAAGATTTTTGACCCTGAGGAGACAGCTGGCAATCTGTGGAGACACTTTTGGAGATGGGAGTTGGTGAGGGATACTACCAGTATCAATGGGTGGAGGCCAGGGATGATGCTAAACCTCCAACCCTCATTGCCGGGGGCTGCCATCACAAAACACTACAGACTGCGAGCTTTAAACAACAGAAATTTTTATTCTCATAATTCTGAATGCTAGAAGTCCAAGATCAGTTGAGTTTCTTTTTAGGCTTCTCTCCTTGGCTTCCAGGCAGTGGCCTTCTCACTGTGTCTTTGCATGGTCTTTTTCTCTGTGTGCACATGACTGTGCAGGGCTGGTGTCCTGATTTCTTATAGAGACCCCAGTCATATTGGATCAGGGATCATGCATATGGCCTCATTTTACTTTAGTTACCTCTTTTTTAGATAGAGGGCCCTATCTCTAAATACAGTCACATTAGATACCAGCAGTTAAGATTTCCAACATATTTAGTGGCAGGGGAGGGGCAGGGCACGCTTTAGCCCACAGCACTCCATAATAAAGAATTATCCAGTCTAAAATGTCAGTTGTGCCAAGATTGAGAAACCTCTAATGTAAAGGAACTCCCATGTCTACCTGAAAAATAAGATCCAAAGGGCATTTATTGAGCACCATCTGTTAGCATATGTTTAATACTCATACATTGAAAGAAGAGTATGTTTATATCCATCTGATAAAGATTAAGGAACTTAGAGTAAGTGGTAGATCCAGAATTGAAACCAATAAACTTCTGGTTCTAAAATTCACCTTTTAGTGAAAATACACTTCTCACCAAACTTATAGTAATTCACTGATAGTAATTCACTGGTTATTAACTCTTTCTACCTCCACACTCCCCTCAAAGTTATAATGTCTCCCATCAGCGTCAGCTCAGAATAGCGGTGATGCTTATGGTTTCGGGGTGTGGGGGTGAGCTGCTAGATTCACTTTAGATGGGCCAGTATGCCAGGCCATCCTTTCATCCTCTACTCATGTCTTTTTTTCGACCCCCACATTGAGGATCATTGGTCTAGGTGAAAAAAGAATTCATACACATAAGACCATGTAAGTTATATAGGGAGGTATGCCTTTAAAAACAAAGTCGTATGGTAAAGATTGATGTGTCAGCAGGGGTAGACAAAATAGATAAGGCTAGAACTGGGGTAAAAAACAATGGACTTCAAACTTAGCATCTGATAAAAGAAAATAGCAATTATTCAAATGAGAAACACTTGTGTCTGTTGTATATGTATTATAAAAGAATGAACATAAGGGAAAAATCACAGCCATTACATTTATTACCATTTCTATAATTTTTTTTTTTTTGGTTTTTAGTCTGTTTTTTCGGATATCTTTAAGAACAACTATCTGAGGCTGTAAGTATTCACATTAACACCCATGGTACTGACTTTGTACTCCCCACCTTCACTGAGAACTTAAAGGCAGCATTTCTCCATTCCTTCTGTGTATTTCTGGGTATCCCTAGGTTCAGATATTCGGAATACAGACACTGTTCCCTTGTATCATATCTTTTACATAGTAGCTGATTTTGAGCAGCCATGACTTTCCCATGCTTAATAAGTCTTCACTGCAAAATGTACTTTCTAGGTAACATTATTGAATGAGCTATTTTAATATAACTATTTTAATTTTAAAGAGTATCTACTGAAAACATTTTATTTTGGCAACATAAATATTGACTTTCTGAAAGCTTGGCACCTAGATAGAATAATTTGTTTCCTATTTGCAATACATGGTATTGTGTACTTAGGTTAAAAACCTAAAGAAGGGGGTGGGGCTAAGAAAACCTATGGTAGCATAATGTAAGGCTCAAACCTGATTGTCAGGAGACTGTTCTTACCTACTTTGTCACAGTTTTGTAGAAATACAGGCTTCATAGAAGCATATTTGTCTAGATGTACTTTGGGAATATTGTTGGTTTCTATCCAGAAGGGGAAAATAGATGAATAAATGCTAAAAGTCATAACCTGGTCGGGGGCTGGTTTTTGTTTTTGTTTTTTTCTAGCAAAGTAAAAGAATATCATAGTGATGAACTGTGGGATAGTTCTATTTTAAACCAGCTCAGCTTGTTCTTCATGCAAGATAAATTCAGAGATTCAGACTTCTCTTTGTTAAGTTGTGATGGGTAAAAGTACTTACTAAAGGATGCTCTTTAGTAAGAGTAAAATGGAACCCAGAAGAAAGGAGTGGGATACAAAAGGCAATGGTGAGTACATACGTTGGTAAACACATTGGCAAGTTTTAAGTAAATATAGATGAGGGGGTGGGGAGTGGTGAATGATTAAAACAAGATGGAAATAAAATAGTAGAAAATCTTGTGGGATATGGGAGATCAGAATATCAAGTTTTAAAGGCCACTCTTAGTGAATACCTGTTTCTAGAAAATGTGTTTCAGGAAAACTTGATAAAACCACGGAGGCAGAAAAGATTAGAAAAACAAAAGCATGGTGAATAGAAAAATATAAAATAAGATGGCCCAGTAACCCCAAGTATATCAGTCACTATCCCTACAAATGATTAAACTGAATTCTTAATAGTAGCTAGCATTTATTAAGTGTGTAGTATGTGCCAGGGCCAAGGGCTTTGCCAGTGTTAACTCAGTTATTGCAACAACCCTATGTTTTACAGATAAAGAAACCAGGACAAAGGTTAAGATGTGTTCCCACAATAATATGTGACAGTTTCACAGGTTGGATTTTTAGGAGAGAATCTGGCTTCATGCAGTTAACAAGAAACTATCACACAGAAAGCAAAAAGGTAGGGAAAGATATCAAACAAAGCTAATTAAAGTGTAGCAATGGTTGTAACAATTCATCATGTGTATTTTTTTTTTTTTTTTTTTTTCATTTTGCTCTGGATTAGTGGAAACTTGTAATGAGAGATTGAGACTTGGGTTAGTTTTTAAGAAGAGATGCAGTTTGCATTAGCAGAAGAGAGTACAGAGAATGCCAGAGATGTAAAATGATGACAGTCTGGGTGAGGTGAGGAACAGTCATCGCTGGAGAGCACTAAGGGCTGGCCATGCAGGAATGTGGGGTGCTGCCACTCTCCCCTTCTCCTTCCTCTTTTCCTCTTGCTGTGCTCCTTTTCTTTCACCAAATGCTTTCTTTCAACCGAGGGAGCCAAAGCTCCTCCTCTAATATGCCTTTCACCCCATTTTCACCAAAATCTCTATTCAGTAAAGGGAAAACAATGTCATTACATGGATATTCATTTAATGAATACTGTGTTAGGATGTAATAATCAAGAATGTACAAGAAAGAATCGTTCCCTGGCCAGAGAGCGGCTGTCTGACTAATCCAGTTCTAGGAGTGGGTCACTTTCCCTCCCCTGGCCCCTGCTTCCTCATCTTTATATAAAATAGGGCATTTGAAGAGCTGGAGGGAACCTCATCTATCATCTAGCTCAATCCCCTCATGTAACAGGTTGGAAAACATTTAGTGAGCGCCTAAGACATAGGGTGTCTTCTGGCTGTAACATGCCAAGTTGCTAAGGTGAAAGTTATGGCCAAGACATTCCTGTGTGGGGTGGAGGGAGTAGTGGCCCTCTCTGTGTGCCCTGCCCACGAATAAGACCTGTATTTGAGGGTGACACAGAAGGCAGGAAGGAAACCCACTGCTCCAGCCAAGGGGACAGGAAGGCAGTACTTGGATGTTTCTACATGGTGGCTTTGAATACTCCCGAGACTAGAAATCAGGAAAATCAAGGCCCAGTTGTCTGCTAGCTCTGGTGGCTCTGCTCACTTCCTGGATGAGGGTCCAGGAACCTAGCAGCAGCCTTACCGAAGGCAGGACTGTGCCCTGTCTTGCTTCTGAGGAGAGCCCATCTAGGCCTTGAGTTTCAGACAGACAGTTGTTGAAGGTGAAGGCAATTAATCAGCTTGAAACTCCTCAAGCCCCCCTAGGTGCCGAAGGATAATCCTTGTAAGGGATGAGAAAGAGGGGTTTGCATCTCTAGGTCTCTCTATCCAGTGGATTCTTAAACCATTTACCGCCTTCGCCTTCCAAGCCCAGGACACCACAGAAGCTGTACTATTTACATTCCCATCATCAGTGCACC